TGTGAAGCTCTTGGCCAGGCATTTCAATTGGCCGTTCTATGAAATTAGCACCTGTCCTACGGTCCATTTGGAATTCCGCAAAATCATTATGCCACATCATACGATCCGTTGCCCAAACACTAATAGAGCAATAGCTGCCATGGACTCCAATGGTCAATGGTTCTCCTCCTGCTGCTGCTGCTTTGTTCGTGTGTAATAACTCCTTCAATCGATCCGCAGATCGGCAGATCAATTGCTGCCGCTATCGACGCCACAGCGTGGCATGAAAATTGCATGCTTTCTATTTCAGATGAAATCAACTGACTATGGCCACAAGAACATCCAACAACAACAACTACAACAGGCTTGCATTGAGTCTGAGCCATTGTTCTGCTGCTGCTGCTGTTGCTGCTGCTGACGAACTTTCGCAAAGTTGCCTTTGTGCAATATTATTAACAACAGCAACAGCAGCAGAAACAACAACAACTGCAACTTTGAGCTCTCAATCGAGCGTTACAATTTTCACAATCTTACAGCGATTGGTCATGCAGCAGCAGCAGCAGCGGCAGCAGCTTATGCAACACCAGGCCCACAGCTACAGATGCAGATACACTTGCAGAGGGTAGACAGACGCAGATATACAACACGCGCCTCGCTATATGCATGATCATGTATGAAGATCTGAATGCCGAACCTGGACTCGAACTGCTGCCACAGTTTGCAAAATCACACGACGACGCGGTGCGACGCGTTGCCGATGAGCTCTGAGTTGCAGTCTCAGCCTCTGGGTCTGATCTTTGCCGCCGTTCAAGGTGTCTGACTGGCCCCGATCGCACTGCACTCTATCAGTGTATAAGTGCGCTTGCGAGTGTGTATGTGTGTGTGCATTAAGACAATTTATAGCCGCTAATGTGCAAGCAAAACCCACCGCACAATTGGCCAACTGGCTGGCAGCTTCCGTTCCGTATCATTTGTCTATTTAGTTGCGGGGCCTTGCTTTTCCGATTAACTTTTTGCTGAACTTCATTACCTGGCGAAAATGCAATAATACAAGACTGGATCTGTGCTCTGGCCTAGTACTTGTGGTACTACTGCCAAGCAATTTGTTTTTAGTTGGGGGAAGAGCCGGCCGCACATGCGATTCTGTGTTCATCCTGCATGCTCCCCGACCCGAACTTCCGAACTCCTGCACGCGGTTTAATGATTAAAAATCGTGTGATGAGAAATCGAAAACAATATGAGCTGCAAATTGGAACAGTGGCCAAAAACACCTGTGCATGCAGCAGTTGAAGCAGCTACCGTTGATAAGATTCCCAGTTAGCCAAAGGTCAACATGGAGTAATCAAGGCAGCACAAAAGGTAGAAAATGCCAATGGATTATTGTCCATGTCAAAAGGAATAAAATTGGTTTTGAAATTAATATTGAAATTGCAATTGAAGTGAAATACTCAGATGTTGTCCAGTCTCTTTCAATATATAATAATAATAATATTGCCAGATTTAGATGCCAAGTTGATATAGAGGCCAATTAATGAGCAAAAAGCCAAACGTTATAAGAATCGGTTGAGTTTTGACCGTGTTATGGGAGTGGACAATTATGGTCAGTTAGTCAGTCAGTCAGTAAGTCAGTCAGGACAAACTGTGATTCTTTTATTTGAGAGTAGAACGAAATCTAAAAATAAAGTTTATTTATACATTTCTTAGAATTCAATTATAAATCATTTTATCAATTTCTTAATATAGTTATTCGATCACAGCCAGGCAAAATTTTGCCATACGCTTTCAATTCATCTCTTTTTATTCCTAATATTACACATATTTTTTATCTATCTATATATACTTCCTCTCTCTCGTCTTAGAAATTTTTATGATTTCTGTGTTCTTTTCGCTCACATCTCTATAATAAATCATTTTTTGCAGACTATGTCGACTGTTTAAAATAATTAAGATCCTTTCTGTGTTCTGTTTTATAGTCGGTTTCCACCGAAATTTTCATTGCGTGCATTAAACCAACTAACAAATGAAATATTAAAAAAAAAAAAACAAACCCAAAACATCAAAAATTTGTAATAGTCCAGAGTGTGAGTTTTGAACAATTTACTCATTTAGCACTTTTCCATGACACTTTGTAATTTGCATATAGAGCCACGAGCCATTAAATGCAGCACACCCGTTTATTCAAAAGCATAATAAGTTATACTTACAATATTAATTACCATCAAATATCTCATGCCGTTGATTTGTGGTCGACAAAATATGTGATGCAAAATTATTTCAGCCGCATATTCAGAGCTGCCCACAACGGACACCGCAGCACTAGAGCCGCAGGCATAAAATATGCACACAGTTCAACCCTCCGCTCCCCCCGGGGCCACCTTTCATGTGGATCATCCTCGCTGCCCCTTGCTGGCGGCAGGCGTTGCTGTTGACATGTTGCCGTCTCTGTTGTTGCTGCTGCTGCTGTTGCAGTTGCTGCTGCTGCTGCTGCTCTTGCTGTTGCCGCTGGCATTAAATTAGTTGTTGGCAGCGTCGCTAATACAGCTCACTCCCACCTCCTGCCCGCTGCTCTTGCCCCGCTAACGATGCACTCAATTACAAACATGCACCACCACCAGCACCACCACCCTCGCCGCCGACTATTTTGCCGTCATTTTTGTGCAAATAAATTATAGATTTTCTTTTTTGCATTGTTTTTTCCCTTTTTTTTGTCGTACAGCTTTTTGTCTGTGTGGCTGTCTCCTTCTGCTGCAGCTGGCCGCCGCCGCTTTATTTACATTTTTTCTGTGCTAGTCTAGCAATAATTTGCATATTGAAATACGTCTCCGTCAACGTTGTTGCTGATGTTGTTGTTTTTTTTTTTTTGTTGTTGCCCCGTCTAATTACAAATGCTGCACCGCCCGCCCCTTGAGATGTGAGCTGCAAAACTGCGAACTGCAAGCTTGCTGCATGCCACGAGATACTTTTGTGGCTAATTGGCTGTTGGGGCAGGTGTGTAAGACACGCGGAGAGACTGACAAACAGACAGGAACTGGCAATTCCAAAAGACCAAAAGGCAGCGCCAAGAATTGTCAAATTCGTACGCAAAATTCATTGGAAATGTTCAAATATTTGTCAGGCGTACAAATTGCGTTTGCGCTTCTATCGAAACCAAAACAAATTCGCACTCAAATCATTGGACAGGTCGACGACAACGCGTCGCATGGGCACCTGGTGGGCATTTTAAGTCGTTCGCCGCTTTTTAAGTTCCACTTTGGGGCACATTGTGCATGTGGTGCACGTATGTCTCTAGTTTTTCGGGGTGTTGACGCCGCCGCCCAAAACGATAGTTGCGATAGTTGGTCCCTCCCCCTCGGTAGCCGCCTTGCATACAACGGGGCTCATTAGCAACGTGATTAAATTGACCAAATTATTATGTAATTAGCCGTAGGCTGACCCACTTTGCAGCCAACTTATCTTGGCGGTTGCACTCTGCAGCTCTGCCAGGTAACTGCTTTAAGTTTTTCATAATTTATGGAACGTGTCGACGGCACGTCGTCTAGACAGGAAATGCAATTGAATTGATGAATGTGTACTACATGTGCTCAGATATCGATACTAATTTAACCAATTACGCGATATTTATTGGATGAAGATATTACTTTGAAAATCATGGATCGACTACAAGCTCCTTTTTACTTTAACCCCGTTTTGTTTATAAGGAATAAAGGAGATTAAGGAGATTACTTTAAAAATTATATATATATACTCGATCAGTATCAACAGCCGAATCTAAGACTGTCGGAATTAATTGCCTCTATGCAAATTAATCTTTCAGCTTAAAAGCGATCCTCACGAAACTTTTCATAGGTCAGAGGTCAGATTAAATATTATATAGTTGCTATAGAAAAAACAGTTTAAATATTAAGTTATTATATGAAAATCTTTTCTGTTTTGCAAGATGTTATGACCTTGTCGTATAAACCAAGTTTTCCCCATCACCGGACTACCATATTAAAAAACTATGGGGGAAAACATGTTTTAAAAATTTTGGAAACTTAAGAAATTATCACCACAGTCACCAATCACGGGCCCATTGTCCTATATTCATTCGTTCTGGGTTGGAATACTAATATACCATACCGGTAAAAAGCCAGTGTATTTAGAGTTCGGCCTGCCGAAGATAGCCGTTCTTTCTTGTTCATATCTAAACTTATTTATGTTTCTTTTGTTTGCAGCACTCACTATACAGTTGGCAGTGCGTGAATTTTTGGTAAGTCACGAATGATAACACCCACTACCTGTTAGTATTATTTTTAGCAGTATTGTGCCAATATAAATAAACTGATGTTGGCAAGCCGTGAACACGTTGGCGAATTCCGCACGTAGTCGCTATGAATTTTGTATGCCCATTGCAAATTGTGTGAATTGATTTTTGTTTTTTGGCCATTATAAAAATGTTGTATGTTGGTCAGCGGCTAACGCTTTCACCGGCCAAAGATTGCCAAATGGGTTGCAAAATGCATTGCAAGTGCAAGTGGAAATTAAATTAATGTGGGTGGGCAATGGCCTTGCCAGCAGTTGCCCAAAATGGTGTAACCCCAAGCCTGGTGAGGCCTATTGGGCCATCAAATTATGACATGACCGGACGAGTGCCAGTGCGACTTAACTATCTGGAAATGGTTTATTGACTATATGGCGCTCTTTACATAATGAGCTGGGCTATGTGTGTGCCTTTGAATTGTGACGACAAAGTTCATTAGGAATTCCAGGCACGCCGCCCACTTGGCTGGCCCGGCACACATCACTTTCATTGCTTGGCTATTTTGATAACGTTGAATGGCTTGGGCGAGTCACCAGCCCGCCGTCCCAGCTGCCAGGCTGCACGTGATATTGGCCAACGGTGGCAAAGACAGTTGCTATAAAATGCGTGGGCTCCAATGGATTAGAGCACAGTTCATCGACAACCGCAGAGCAAACAAGTCTCAGGCGCACCGTCAACCTTTACTTTTGGATAAAATCAAATTAAGTGTGAAATCTCCGTAATGAAGGTGGGTCCGAGGCAAACAACTCGAGTATGCCAGGTTCTTGTAACTATTGAAGTTTTCCTTAGTTCTTTATCTGCACTTTGGCCTTGCTGGGCGTGGCTCAGGCGGGTTTGCTTTCGCATCTGGAGCACGATCATCATCACGAGGAACTGCCGCACCTTGTGGACTCCGAGGTGCATCACTCGAACGGCATTCACTTGGGCCACAGCTCCGCTATTGTGATCGATGGTGCCGATCACCATTTGGACGCAGTGCCGCATCCCGTTTACCATCATGACGGCTACTCTGCCCATTTGGATCACGATGTGCACGCTCACGACCATGTGCATCACGCTCATGTACATGCCCCAGCCAAGATTGTCAGCCATGAGCCCATTCATGAAGTGGAGCCAGTGCATCATGTGCACAAGGTGGTGCATGATGAGCCACACCACTTCCTGCACTATAGAAATCCTGTGGTCGATCATCACATCATTCACAACACCCACGCACACATCGATGAGCATGCTCATGCCCACGCTGACTTGCATCATTATGCCCACCACTCGGCTCCATTGGTGCATCATCATCATTCGGCTCCGCTGGTGCACCACCATCACACCCATGCCGCTGTGGTGCACAAGGCCGCCTTCCCAGCCCACTTGGACGTACACAGCCATGCCAATCTGCTGTCCTTTGCCAAGCATCATTTGCACGGCAAATACGGCAAAGTGAGAATCACCGAGACGCATTACTGAGAGATTTCCCAAACACCAATACACTACATCAGACACACACACACACGCATACACTTATCCAACTGCATGACGACGCTTTCATAGCTAATTTATTACGCACAACGTTTAGTTTGTAGTGCTCGAATAAACGGGTTGTTTTTTGAAAGATCTTTGTGTCCATTTCCCCGCCTCTGCCGCTCTGGCCCTCCCCCAAGCTCCCACTGCCATTCCTCGGCTCATCAAATCACTCACTGGCCACTCAACAAGGCAGCATAATAGATCAAGCTGCGCGAGCCAACGTAATTTACTTGCAATTTAAAGATAAACAGGCGCGATAATGTCTACAAAGCATAAACGTGAGTTGACGCCTACAATAGTAGGCAGCAGTCGAGGTTGGGGCACTGGCAGTGACGGGTGCAGGGGCATGGGCAGGGGCAGTGGCAGGAGAAGAGGCACAAGCGTTGCAGGTTCAGGCCATACATCATCGCACTATCGCCTTAACCGCAGAGAGTGAAGGTGTTGCAGTTGCTGCTGCTTCTGCTGCTGCTGCTGCTGCTGCCTCACGCCGAAGCGTTGCTTCGTGCAACGTGCAACGTGCCACTTGCAGCACAACAGCACAACTAAGCGAACTACTGAACAATTGCAAAGTGCCAAGCACGAAGCCAACGCGATGCAGTCGACCCTGACAAACGCAAATGCTGAGGCTTAGGGCGTCGCGTCGTGTCCAACTGCATGTCTAGGGGCAAAAGCGCATGCGCAACACGTGGCTGCCACAGCAGCAAAACTCACACTCCTTTTCCATTCTCCTGCCCGTGCGCGTTCCGGTTACTATTCCCATTCCCCCTGTCGCTTCGGGTTCAGCCAAGCGAACACCGCTCCGCCACTACAATTTTCTAGTCGTGCGGCGTCTAAGCGCGTGCCGCGCTCATTTTCATTTTCATTGGTCAACTACAATGGGAAGGGAAATTGGGATTAAGCCAAGACAGCTTCGATTTTGTCATAGCATCATGTAAAAGATAAATCCAAGTTTGGTTAGCAGCTGCTTAAATGCCCTATGTGAGAAACATTGTAAGCAAAGTGATTGAATGAAAATTGTCAAAGATGCATACAAACAGAAATACATACTGATCGGCAGCCGGTAGTACCCGGCGTTGCACAGGCAAAGTTGTTAACTTCGGTTTATTCATATCGCTTTTTCAGGAGAGTGAAGTAACCGGAACGTAAGAAGCACGCCCTTAACGACATTCTGAAAAGAAAGCTATAAGCTGAGCAGATAAAAAACAAACAACATAGTTACATACAACAGTTTTTCACTCCTTTTTCGACCATGAGGGTGAATCAAAACTGTTGAATTATGTATTCATAATATTTCTTAGGAAGAGAAGAGTAAATACCATAATATTCGTAAAGATCTTTGAATATGAGCTTGACGGTGATCATAACATAAACATATTCCATGTTATACATTTTCTAAGCTAGGATAAATTATACATTACACACATACATTATTTTGTACTCCCACTAGCCCACTATCAAACCAAAATGTAAAGTCGCAGTAACCCATTCTAGTGTATGTGTATAAATATTAGTAACAAATGGCCAACAAATTCGCAAATCGCGAACTCTGCTCTTTGTCAACACATCGCATTGGCCCATTGTAGAAACAACAACTTCGTTGCTTGTGGCAACATTGTTAATGTTGCTAACGCCAGCAAAGTCGTGCCGCTCAAATCTAAACCAAACGCATCACGATTTTTGCTTTTTCAGCTGGTGCGTTATAAGTTTTTGTTGCCTTGTCGTGCGTTGTTGTGTTCGAATGGGGCAGGCAATGAGCGTCAAATGTGCCGCACGTTGCAATGAGTTTTTGTGGCAACAACAACAACAACAACAACAACAACAACAGCAAAGGCAGCTGATGATCAGCTCGGCTCAACACCTGCCAAAAATCGCATATACAATAAATCACAACAAAACGTTAAGCTTTTTGTAGATTATTTTTAGTTTTATATTGGCTTCGCTGTGCTGAGAAGAAGCTGTCAAAAAACGCTGATGCGTAAAACACCCGCAACCGCCTGTCGCCGCTGCGCTACGATTAAAGTCAGCGTAGTGTGGAAACGCTAATGGCCAAGGCACACAAAAGTTCGGGTCTCCGCGTGATGCTGATGCCGATGCCGATGGCACTTGCTCCGAGCTGTGGCTGGAGCTGGCGGCTCGAGTTGGGGTTGGAGTCGGGTAGTCAGACAATGCCACAGTTTATATTGCGACCGGCTGTGCTGTTGGATCAGCCTGGTCATTAGCAGCAGTGCAGCTGCAACTGACGCCGAGCCAGTGTAACTACAGTAGCTATTCAACGGGGTAGGCAGGCAGGCAGGCGGCAGGCAGCAGCAGCTCACAATTGCAGGCCCGGGACTGCCGACTGCTGACTGCTGACTACTGACTGCCGTCGTCTGCTTGGCAGCGTAATTGTGTTAAAAATTACTCAGGCATCTTAATCACTTTGGTAAATATTTTGCAGCGGCAGCAGCAGCAGCAGCAGTGAACGAGGTTAATGCGCTACAGCTGCAACAAGCGTCGCCAAGACTCATAATGTTTCCAGCAACATCAGCAACAGCAACAGCTCGCTCCTTACACACTTCAATCGTCTGTGTGGGTGTGCGTGTTGTTTCTCCGGGTTCTGTAAGCGAAACATGCAAAAGTCCAAGACACTCTCGGGCAAGTTTTCATTCATGAAATTGGCCATATTGATGGCGGGCGACGGCAGCGTGCGGGACGCCAGTTGATTGCATGTTCGAGCTCAGTTCATTTTCAACAGCATCAAGGATCAAATGCATTAAATACGCGACGTTACCAGCATCGGATGTTGCTACAAAAAAAGCAAAGTTGTTGTTACTTCTTTATCGGGCGTGCTCATCTCTGTGAGGCAGCCGGTTAAGTTGCAGGTTCGGGTCCTCAACAAAGGCGGGTGGTGCACCTGCGGCAAACTGCTTTGCAATTATTACGTTTTGCTAATCTTGTTGTTGCTGTTGTATTTCTGCGCTGTTGTTGTTGTCTCGGCCCCAAAGGCGATGCGAGTTATGCTAAATAAAGCCGCTGAAGTCCCTTCGGATAGCCGTGGCCTGATGATGCTGCTGCCAGCTTCTGTTGAACTGTGTGAGTGCTACACTTTCTCTGCTGTTGCGCTCTGCACTCGCATCGGGGCATCATAATTTAGCTGCAATCATCATTATCGTTGTCCGTGTTCCGTGGTACGAGATTCTTGTGCAAAACGCCCGCACGTAGCCATTTTGGCATATTTTTTCTTACAGGCAACAGGGCAGCAACAAATTGCAATTGGAGCGAAACCAACAGCAACATCAACAGCAACAGCAGCAGCGGCAGCAGCAGCAAGCGGCAACAACTGTCAGGCAGTCAGTCATTCAGTCAACCTGAAAGTCTGAAAGTCAAGCAGTCAGTGAGTCTATCATTCAGTCAGTCACAGTGCGCAAAGTTGCCAGCAATTTGCTCAAATAAAAACGTAAAAACGAAATGCAGTCAGGAAGCTGCTGATGTTGCTGTGGCTGTTGCTGCTGCTGCTGTGGCTGCGCATGCGTCTTTGGCAGCATATAATTGTCTTGGGCGAGCGAAGATGCTCCGAGATCTGTTGCGTTGATGCAAGAGGCACAGCTGTGCTGCCTGCCACTTCCACTGCCACTGCCATTGCTTTTGCTGCTACTGCTGCTGTCCATGTCCGGCGGCAATTGTAATTACCGCAGTTGCGCCTCCCGTCGTCCGTCTTGGCCAACGCCTTCGCCATCGCCCATCGCCCATCGCCTGGACAAATGCGCAGTAGCCTGGCATTTCAGTTACGCCTGCAGTTTGTTATTACGCGCATTATTTCTGCAACCCTTTTACCCGTACACCCGTTCACCCTCCCCCCTTCTCGTCGCAGCCCCTCCATAATCTTCACTGATTGCATTCAAGCAAACACCGGCGGCCAAAGGCATTTGCATTATTTTCACATTCCACAAACTTCAGCTGCATAATTTTATTTATTTTTATTATTTTTTCTCATTATTTATTTTAGGAGTTGCGGGTTCAAAATCTTTGAAAAGTATCCTAGATTCAATTGTTTTTCTTTTTTTTTCTGGAGAAAACTAATTTTTGTATGGTACAATAGTTATTCGTAATTTAGTTGAATTCGTGTAAATTTTACGAGATGGCATGCATAATTAAATTAATGAATATATTTTTAAAGAGGGGTTCCATTCTTATAAGTAAGTATTTTATTGATTCCTAGTTAGTGGTAATAGTAAAGTATTTGCTTTTGTTTGGGCTGCTAAGGATTGTCGATATAGACCAAAAGTAAAGGTCTGTAAATTAACCTAATCTAGCTAAGCACAAGTTTACATAGCACCATAAAAATAATATGGAAAATCGCACCTTAAAAGAGAAACTAACTTTAAAGATCGGTTGACCGAGCCTGATAGACGCTATACAGAACTGTGCCCAGAAACTCTGAAAATCTGTCTTATTTATTAAAACTTTGCATAGCGTCTGCAAATGATATAGAAATAGCATGGAAGTAATTCGATTTTGTTCTCAACTAATATCACAATGTTGTTGTTCACTGATTTTTCTTTTTAAGTACTCTTGCATTGCTTAAAATAAACTAAATTGTCTTATAATTATTATTATGACTTTGATTAGATTTATTATGTATTATTAGATTTAAAGTTTGTTGCGTAAATCTTTGATTTGCATTCTTATGTCTAAAAGGCAAATGTAAGCTAAAAGTTGAAAAAGTCTTTTAATTTATTTATCAATTAATTATTGCTTTAATTTACATACTATTTTTTTTTGTAATTTGTTAAAATTCGAAAAGCGCTATAAAAATATGTCTGGAAGCGATTCGAGTAAAATTTAGTTTGATAAATTTTCGTTTTGGGCTACTTTTTTACATTTAAAATTTTTTATTTTTTTTGCAGAAATTGATTTATCATTTTTTTTTTTTGTATTTTCACTTTTAGTAAAGAGATTTAGATAAAAAATACTTGACTTTTTGGTTTTTATGCTTATAAAGCAGCATTTAATGCTTAACTCTTAAACTTCTCAGAAGCATTAAGTTGAAAAATGTTTAGGCTTATAGACTATGTATATTCATTTAAAATATGGTACGTATGCTTGGTAAATAGTTATCTATTTAATTAGTATTAGTCAAAAAGTTGATTTCTTGCAAAAAATCGCATAATTTACAATGCTTGATATATTATTGTATATCATGTATGTACAATATCAATAACTCATTCGAGATTAATGCGTATCAAAAATTGGGTTTTTAAGGCACTTCCGTGTGACGGAAATATACTAAATTTACATATATCTATATATAATATCTGTCTGCAACATTTTAAACACTTTGTGTATATTTATGGCCTGGCATTTGCGAAACTATGTTAGGAGCTGGAAATACCCAGCTTAGTGCCACCTTTTTCGAGCAGTAAATCTTTGGCTAACAATCATTTGGACTGGCTCCAAAGCGCAGTGCCAAAGAATTATGTTGATGAAAACAATAAAGTTGGGGAGCAGAATGAACCGAACCGAACCAAACCAAACTGAGCTGAACTGAACCAAGCACACACACAAACTTCAAACTCAATTTTCGCGCTACAATTACAAATGATGGCGATAAATTTCGCGCTGCCCAAAAAGACAAAGGAGCTGCTTTAACGGCTAGCTGGTTGCCTGGATGGTTGGATGCCAGACGGAAGTGATAATAAACGCACGACACGCGCGCTTGTTTAGAGATTTATGCGTACAAAAATCCAGGCCGAGCTGCAAATAATGTCAACGGCGGCGGCATCCAAAATGATGCACGGCCAACAGAATGGGGCGCGTACGCAATGGATTATGCAATGCGGCATCAACCATGTGCAGCAGTACGTACAGCTGCTAATACAGTGGCCTCTGGTTCGAATCTCTGGCTAACCATAAGTCACAACTGCACCCCCCGCATAACCCTCCCGCCTTGCCACTGCGGTGTGCAGAGTGCAACGTGCAACATGACTAGAGCTAGGCTACTTAGTCACCGCCAGTGATTTATGAGCCGTTGCAATTGCTGCATCGCCGAGTCCCGCAATGTCTTTCAATTATGCCGCTTTAAAGTTGCCACTAAAAAGTTTTGCATTGTTTAATTGCTAACGAGCGGGCGGGCGGACGGAGGGGCAGAGGGGCAGAGGGAGTGCTTGGTGCTGGTAGCTGCCACAATTAACCCAAAAGTTAAACTGTGCCATGTCTGCAGTTCGTGTTTGTTTTGCGCCGCGACGCGACGCGACTCGTCTGCGCCCCTGCACTTATTAAGAAATTAATTTAGTCATTGGAAAACAAGGTCAAACATTAGCCGCAAACTGCATTGCAGCAGTTGCTGGTGGACCCACACCCAATCCCAATCCCAGATCCACCCGCCCACGCCAGCGTACGGGTATTCGTGTTGCTTGGCCATTAAACCTAAAGAAATTTCCATGTTGCCAAAGGGACGAGAAAAGTGAGCCAGAGGCATGTCACCCCCGCAAGTGGCAAAGCGTGGGAAAACTTGCCAAAATGCCTTGTGAAAGGGGTTGGCCATTTGGGGCCTTCGTCTGCTGCGTGCCAGACTGCAATTTCGTGACCAACTGAGGCTTTGCCATTTGCCATGTAAGCGCTTTCAATTGCCTAAAAGCTTGTAAGCCAGTTTCCGGCAAAAGGATTTTGGTGACCCGCAACGAAACCCAAATGCAAATATTTGCAGCTCTACGATACCAGGACAAGGCGGGAACTCAAAGAGAAATGACAATATGTCTTTGGGATCTGTCAACTATTAGGGAAATCTCAGACCATGGTGACCCAGACTTGTTTGAAAGTTTTAATAATGTTGATCCAATGATTTACGTTGTGTTTGAGGCTCCACCTCTTCTGCAAGGTGCTATAAATAAATGTAAAATAATGATCTGCCATAAAAAGAAAATAAATAAAGATTTATGTGTATTGTTTTTTTGTCTGTATTTGAAGTATTTTTTTTTTTTTTGCTTGTTTTCATGTTTGTTTTATTTTTCAAAAACATTTGAACTTTTGAAACTAATCATAACGAACTATAATAACATAAATTAATAATTTATTTAAACGGATAATTAAAATTAATAATCAATATTTCATACGCTCAGAAAAATGGTAATAAATAACAAAAACATTAACTTGAAACAATTATAAATTTTTTTAGTAATATTGGCAAACAGAAAATTGCCGTAATTTAAATATTTTTTGCATTGCTTCAATTAATCCAAACTGGCATCGAAATTGTTTCTTTGAAATTAAATTTGAACTAAAAAAGAGAAAGTTTTTATTTCATTTTATGAAAAAAAAAGAAATATATATTAAAAATGAATGCAAAAAATGATACATTTTTATAAAAAGAGATTTTTGTTAAACAAAAAAAGAAGGAATAATTAGTTAATTTAGCTTCACAATCGCTTCACGTACGAAATCGAAATGTTTTTGTTTTTGTGCCCTAGGGAGAATTCTTTGTCTTTTTCTGTGTGTAAAATTGTAAAATTATAATTTAATTAATACAAATTGTTGTCTTTTAAGCGCTAGAACGTTAAAAACTAAATGCGCAATGCTGCAGAGTTTAATAAACTAAAATAAGTTAGCGTAAATTAATGTTAATTTTAAATTATAGTATAATTAACTCTACTGTTTGTTTATGGTTTGTCCGCTTTGCTTTCAATTACTAAATACATACGTTAAATATAGCAAAATATAGCCTAGATGCTTGCATGCCTAACTTAATAATTTCAATGTTGTTCAAAAATGCCCAGAGGCCGATCTTTGACCTCTACCTAACTAATTAACGAACTAACTAACAAACTAATCTCTAGCTGACCACATACATGCGCGTGCATACACGTATACATGTATAAAAGTTTTCAATATGACGGAATTATAAACTAAATTGTGGAACATGGAATTGCTAGCTGTATCTGAACGTTGTCTACAACAGTACGTTGTCCAAAAATACAATACTACGAATACCAACTAAGCCTGTCTCCCTCCATTGGGGGTGGTTCGGCTCTCGTTGCCCTACAACTAATTAAAACGCTAATACGTTGGGTGGTGGTCTGAGTTAACTCCGTGTGTATTTGTCTCAGTGTGTGTGTGTGTGCGTGCTGGTTGCTTGAGTACAAATTAAAATAGATTTTTTTAAGTTAAAATTATACGTAAATATGTGTATAAACCTAAGCCTTTAACAGTAGGTAGTATTTAGGTTCTCAGTCTTCGCAGAGAGATTTCCAGAGTTGCGCGTAGCTAAACTACAACTGATCTATGGACTCAACGGGCACTAAGCTGGGGGCTTACCCAGAGCCCAACTCTAGTGGCGCTTCTAAAAGGTCATGAACTGTCTGGCCGCGGCCGCGTAGAGGTACCGTTAAGCGCTCTCCGTCTTTACCACAATCGGCATGGGTCCGCCCATGCCGAGCGGCGATTTTTGCAGCAGTTCCTCCTGCTGCAGCAGCATTGGCAGATTCATGTTCATCTTCATGTCTAGCAGCGGCATTGGTGACTTTGGCTCCTCGCCACCTCGACCGCCACCACCGCCGCCACCACCTCCACCGCCACCTGCACCACCAGCCCCACGCGATTCGTAGCGTGTGTGGGTGCGCATGTGGCGGGTGATCATGTCGCGACGGCAAGCAGCATACGGACATTGAGGGCACTTGTACGGCTTCTCCCCGGTATGGGTGCGCTGGTGCGTGGACAAGTGGTCGGAGCGCGAGAAGACCTGACCGCACACCTTGCAGGTGTACGGCTTGACTCCAGTATGCAGGCGCATGTGCCGGGTGAGCATATCGGAGCGGGCAAACGAGCGATGGCATACGTCGCAGGAATAGGCTTTGGTTATGTCGTTGGCGGGATTGCGCGACTTGTGGCGTGATGCCATGTGCTTGGCCAGCCGATCGTGCAGCGAGAACATTTGCCCACATGTCGGGCACACATAGGCCACATCCGAGCCGGGTGGCATTTCCTCCACCACCGGCGACACGTCCAGATTATAGCGCCAGGCCACCGTCTCCTTTGTGGTGGGTGAAGCCACATCACCCTTGATCACCGGCACGCCCACTGTTGTGGTGGGCACATGTGAGTGCAGCGGATGCATGGGCATCTCCATTTTGATCATGGCTGCTGCTGCAGCAGCTGCCGCTGCGTGCGCCGCTGCTGCCGTCATGGCATACGGAGACATAGCAGCCGGCGGGGCCAGGGTCGAGGTGGGCGTGCTGCTGGTCATCGAGGTGCTCGAGTGCGTGCTGGATGCCGGCGATAATGCATTCATGCTCTCGAGACTGCTGGCGGCACTCATTGATGCGGTCGGCGGTGGCATCATGGCCGCAGCACTGGCATGCACCGGCGGCGACCCCGACTTATACTTTTTCGGCTCGCCGAGCATATCACTGCGCATGCAGAGATCCAACGGACGTTCCTGCGGTGGCGGCATTGGCTTCTCGCCGGCCGACGACGCCGAGGAAGTCTTTTTCTTGGCTGGCTTTGGACTGACGCGCGTGGGCTGGGCCGTGGTCACAGAGGAGTCACTGCGCGGTGGTGAGGGCAGCGAGGGCGGCGGCGATGCATTCATCAGAACGGCGGGCATCAATTGTTGCTGCTGGCTGCCATTGATGCAGTTGCTTGGTGTCTTGCCCTGGCTGGTGGGCGAGGTCTCCGTCTCGGAGGCAATGGAGGAGGGCGTGTGCTGCAACGGCGAGGGATAGAGATCATGGCGCCGCCGAAACACCTCGTTCAAATACTTGGTATGCAGATAGTAGCCAAACAACGGCGAGGGTATGGGAAAGTAGCGATCATACGGGCTTGGCATGTGCTCAGTCTTGATGTCCACATGAAGCGGATTCTCCTTGGCAGCTGTGGCACTATCTGGCGCTGGCTTGGAGGCGGGCGTCGCAGCCACCTGCAGCGGACTCATGCTTATTCGCGGACTATCCTGATCGTCCTGGTCCGAGTGCGAGAGCTCCTCCGCTGAGAGATCCGCCTCGGCCTCGATCTGTTCCTCATCGCTGGCTGCTGTCAGTGCGTCACGCTGTTCCCTTTTAATGTATTTAGCCTCGTGTTGCTGCTTGGCATCTTGCGCTGCTTCGCCGTTGTCTTCTTCTTCGCCATCTCCTTCCATTTCCTCCATATCTCCCTCATCCATGTCCATTGGCTCCGTTTTGCAGGCGACGCCATTATTATTATTGTTGTTGGTGTTATTGTTATTATTATTGTTGTTGTTGTTGTTGTTGTTATTATTATTAGTATTATTATTGTTGTTGTTGTTGTGGTGCAGTTTGTCAAGCACGGCTGAAAGACGCTTGCGCTTGCGCTGTTTCCATGGCATGATGTTGTTGTTGGCCACAAACGGCTGATTGTTGTTGTGCTGCTCGACGCTGGCAACTGCGGCAGCAACCGCTGCCGAGGCAGCCGCCGCCGCCTGCTGATGCAGACTGAGTGCCAGCGGCAAGTGCTGGTGAGGCATTGGATGCCGATACTGAAGTTGAGCATAGGGCGCATAGTGAGAGGCAGCGGCTGCTGCTGCCGCCGCCGCTGCTGCCGGTGGCTGCTGTGCGGGCGCATAGTGCTGGTTGGGGTGATGATACTGCGCCGGATGGTGGTGCTGATGCGAGTGTGGATGATGATGATGATAATGGTGGGGATTGTGCGAGCCGGCGGCGTGATGATGATGCCCCATGGGGTCGGTGCCTTCTGCCATCGTCATTAGGTCAACTTTTTGTGGCGTGGGCGTCGTGCTAGCAACCTTCTGGCGATTCTTGAGTAGCCTAACCTTGCGCGGCCAGGGATTCTTGCGGGCGACCTGACGCGAGCGATTTGGCTGCAAAAAAAATTAGGGGGAGAAATACATTAATTTTCATCCAAGTAATTATGCTTGCATATGGTATTTGTTCAAGTATAATCTATAAGGTTCTTAAATGCGTTTGCATTTCCATTTTTCTGTATTTATTTTTATATTTTGCACTCGTACTGTAACAATTGCTCGCATACCGGCATATTCTCGACCAGTTTTCCAGTAATTTTAACCAATTTATCTTTATTCCTTGGAAGCTGCCAAGTTTCACACGTTCAGTTAACTGATCTTTTGTATAATCATTTATTTCAGCTGGCACGGGAATCGTATATGTTTTGTGCTCGGTAAAAGATTTCTGCACCAAAGTCAAATTCAAAACTGCGTAGAACTTGCGTCGACAGCTTTAAAAAGTACTCCTGCTATCTCGCTCTACGTTGCGGTAAGTCAAAGCTGTCAAAGTGGCAATAGGCAATTGCTGTCTTTTTCGGCAAAATGCATTTTCAACAATCTGGCAGCACTACATTCTGAATGCTTCAGCCGTATTTTAAAAGAAAAGTTAGAGGCAAAAAAGCTTATACCGGATTTTACGTAAAGCTATTATTTTATTGTTTAAAAATATGCTGATGAGTTTTTTATTTTTATTAACCTGGATCTCAATTGTTGCGAGCTACGCTATTTTTTAAAGCTTATCGTTTTTGGGTATTGTTTTTTTTTTGTAAGTTGGCAGCATTGTGGTCGATGCTAAGCTTATTGACTAGCTGGCAACGCCGGCGCTACTGCAACGTGCAGCTTGCAGCTCGAAATTGGGAAAGCCGTGGCGCCTCATAAACTGACTCCAATCAGTCAAGCATCAAAATGCTGCACTTGCTCTTGGCTTTCGCTCAACAAATAAATAAGATAAATTTTCGCTGTCGCTGCCAAAACAGACAACGTCGCCGTCGCCGTTTACGCTGCGTTAGTTTTATGCGTTTGGCGTTTGTCGCTAAATCTGCTGCTCCCTGGTCACGCCCTGGACTTGGACTTGGACCTGGTACAACTGGCGACGCCAACATCTACGTCTCCATCTCCCGCTGTGGCTTTGTTATTTTTTTTTTTGTTTTTTTTTTTTTATTGCGCTGCCAGCAAATTTTATGGTGCTCAAGTTTATGACATTGCCTTGACCGCCGCCTGTCGTCGCACACGCCGCTCGTTGGTCATTCCGAGGCAAGTGGAAATCAATGAATGGTGGGTCGGTTGGTCGGCTGGTAACAGTCGCACACAGCATCCTAAGCCGACGTCTGGCGCCAACGTTCGCAAATAATTAAAAGTTACACACATGAAGCGCAAGTTTAGTTCAACTCCCGTGCCCAGTGGCCAGTAGCCAGTAGCCAGTGGGCAGTGGCCAGTGGTCGGTGCCAACTGGCTGCTGGCAGGATAGGACAGGACAGTGCACACTGCACAGGCAACAACGACGGCACGTCTGGAAGGACGTTTGCTGCATTGCGCTTATCCTTGTGATATATGAATATTGTGCACACACGCACCCTGGCACCCTGGCTTGGCGGGTGGGTTGGAGGAGGTTGAGCTACGAGTTCTTGTACGCTGCACGCTTCACTTGCCTTTTGGCTACGACTACCGGGCTGGGAGGTGCGGGAGCCTGGCTGAGTTGGCTTTGTGTCTGACATAAGCTGGCAGTTTATGGTGGGTCACCGTCGCCGTCATTGTCGTTGTCCTTCTGTTTGCAATTTGCGCCTACAACAGCAACACGGCAGCAGCAGGAGCTGGTGCCGGGTCCGGGTCTGGGTCCGTGTCCTTAACGGTCACGTGTTTGTGTTACGTGTTGAGAAAATGAAAAGAGCCCAACGAACGAGCGCGTCGCACGAGTTGTGGTGGGTAGTTGTTCGGGTGTTGAAGTGCCAGCGACATGGACACCTGCGTCCTCCCTCCCGCCCGTCCTGTGCCAGTTAGTGGCTTGTTATTGTTTCTGTTGTCGCATGTGTATGAGTGTCTGGCGCACTCGTTTAATGGAGTGCGTGCGCTGTCCATTGTCTTGGTCCCAGTCTCTTTAAAGCTTTTATTAACTTTTTCGATTTTACAACTTAAATGGAAATGCTGAAAACTTTGCTCGTTATGTCCCATATCATCACAACTCATGTTCTATTTTCTGTTGCGCAATAAGAACCTTCACTGCAGCCACTGCCCCAGGGGGGTCGGGGGTCAACAGTTATGGCACCCCAAACGGCGAACGGCAATTAATATTCTTAATTAGCGTAATTAAACAACGCAGCACTGACAACTATGCAAAAAACTTTTGCTCCACCGCAAATGCTCTACGGCAATGCCTCCCTTTCCTTTTTTGCCCCAAAAGACATTGAGGTTTAGTTTCTGCATATATTTTTTTTGTGTTATTGTATAACGAAAAAAAACATACATTTTCACTCCCGTTGCCTTGTGCTTTGCAAGCACGCGAAAAAGCTGGCGTTAAGGAACCGAACGCAGTCAAATCCGCGAAAGAGTCGCAGAGATTTTTGATTTATGGCGTCAAACTTTCAAAATGTACATATAGAATTTATATATCTTTTTTTTGCACCAGAAAAATTGCATTTCATTTCGTTTTGTGCCAAATGAAGTGTTAATTCGACTTTCAGTTGTATAACTCAGCAAGAACTTTAAGTAGGTGCTGTTGTCAAGGTTACATAAAGTCTATACCAAATCAATCTGACAAAAAGGCCAAAGTTAGTTCTCAATAGAATAGTTATAATGAAAGTAGGCCGTACACCTATTGCACTCTAAAAATGTAAATGACTTTACAACTTCATTAGCATTAATGACACTAAAACAAAGATATTAAAGACTCACTTAAGAATTGAAGCGTCAGCAATGGGCAAAAAACAAGCATCACACATGCATTTGACAACCCTGTCGAATTGGCCAGTACTAATGGCATCTTGTTTATGTCTTGTGCAATAACCAAAAACTAAACAACAGCAAAAAAAAAAAAAAAAACGCACAGTTTATGGTCGTCTATCCCGAAAAGTGTTTTATGACCATTCATTTGCTGGCTCAGCACATCGACAACAGCATGAAATAAGTTTCATTAATGAAGCAAGACGTCAAATTAAAAATCTAGCAAGCAGCTTATTGTTAAACTGTTGAATTTAAGCAAATCTCAGAAAAACATAAACATGGCGCTTCACGGCGAAACAGCAAAACAGAGAAACATGCTTGTAAGCAAATGTTTGGTGAAACTGGAACAGCCCGTGTCGTTTTCGAGATACAGATACATGCAAAAGTATCTATGCGATACATCAAAACAAATAAGTGCAAGGCAAGTAAAAAAGGTGCGAGCAAGATGCCAGATAAGCTGTGCGCTATGCTTAATTACGTTATTTAACAATAAACGAGACGAGGAAGCAGCCAGCATTAAATGGCGCTCATTTGTTGCTGTTGTTCTTGTTGGCTTTTCATTTTGCTGGCGCTGCGTTGAGCGCTGTTCATTGTGAGCTGCTAAAATGAAAATTGCAAATAGCTATAAAATAAGAAAACTGTGAAATGTAAAAATGTGCAATGCCAGTGGAAATATGATTCATTGTCACTTTTTTAAGCAGCATAATTATATGACAACCGTTTTAACACCAAATAAAACAATGCAAATAACAAAAGCGTGAACTACAAAAACCAAGCAACAACAACAACAACAACAACACCAACAAAGTGTATTTTTGCATTAAATGCAACGTAGCTGCTGGACAGAGCGGGAAAGGGCGAGTGTAAGAGGGAGACTGAGTGTGAGGGGGAGTTGCTGCAATGGCGGTCACAATGGGCGCCTCATTCATGTATGTGTGTATATAAGTATTATTGTTTATTTAGCTTTAGTCACACTTATTACATACACACACACACACACATACAAACGCACCGAAACTTGATGAAGTTTTGAAGTGGCGCCCCCCTTCGGCCAGCTATATCAACTGGCTGTACTGTGTCTGTCGCTATTGCTGTTGTTGTTGCTGCTGTTGTTGTTGTTGTTGTCACCAATGCGATAAGCTCTTTGGGTCTGTGTGTGCCTATGGGCGTCCCTACGGCGAGCCCTCACAAAGTTAACTAAACAAAATTGCAGAAATTAAAATGTAAACAAATTGTGTGCACGACGGGACAGACACGCCCTGCCCTGCTCTGCGCCCACACACAGCGACGCGGCGACCTGAAGTGGACTTCTTTATTAGCCATGTGCTTGTTATTTGCACAAAATGTTGGCTTTCATTTTGGTAGCTGCTCCAAGTGGCTGCATGTGTGTGTGTGTGTGTTTTTGTGTTGGTATTGGTATGGAGCCTAACACATTAAACTGGCAAATGTCTGGCTGACGCCATTTAAGCACACTTCAACGACTTCAACATCAACGAGCAACAACAACGTGATACGCATTGATAATGGACAGCTTAGTGTTGCAGCAGCAACAGCAGCAGAAACAACAACGACAACATCAGTCAAAGAGAAGTCAAAGCCAGTTGTATAGAGTTGTTCAGTCAAAAGCAAAGAATGCATGACATAGCACAAATATGGCCAATAAAATAAAACGCCATTTACACAGCGCAAAAGCAACAACAACAGCAACAACAACAACAACAAACAACAACAACAGCAAAGCAAATACAAAATGAAAATAAAAATGAAGTGCGCATCAAGTGAAAACAGAGAAAAGAAAAAGCTATTTATACGCCTACGCCTAAGCGCGAGCCAATGAGCGAAGCCCACTTGACGGTAATGGCAACAACAAAAACAACAGCAACAGCAGCAACAAAAGCTGAGCTGGCAACAAGACCAAAGCAACATGTTGCAATGCTCACTAAACACGCCCCATTCCAGCACAAGCTCATACGTACTTAGTCGGGCGAAGCTTGCTAGAAAGCTCTTTTTAATTGATTTAAAATGCACACACACACGCACAGACACACACTCACACATACGCAAGCAAACAGTCAGTTAGACAGGCAGAGAAGCAGCATATGGGTGTCTCTCTCTCTCTCCCACTCCCTCTCATTTGTAATTGAGAGCTGCCGGCTTCCAGTTTCAAAGTTGCTTTTGCTGGCGCACTGCAATTAAAATGATCACCGTAATTTAGAGTACGACTACGAATTGGTTTTGCTGCTCATTAAATGCCAGACCAAATTTGACGTCAATATGCGAGCTAACGATATGCTAATTGTTGCTGCTGCTGTTATTGTTTTTGTTGTTTTTGCTAGCTTTGTGTCATTAA